AGCACAAAAGAAGCCGAAGCTAATGTGTGGCCTACTATAAATATACATATATTTAACTATACTAGCTCAACGAGCTGATGCACTTTTTTCATTATTAAATACCAAAAACGTAAACATAAAATCAAGGCTTCTAGGCGTGACAAGAGCAACTGAGTTTTTCTGATACCTTCATAAAAATAAAAAAAGAAAGTGAGGAAAATAAATAAAAAAATGCTAGTACTCTGAAGTGCGAGCAATACTCTTACATAGGTGGTGAGTGGTTTTAGAAATTTGAACCCAAGATGGCGTACCTTGGCGCAGCTCTGCTACCTAAAGGTAGCATATACAGAAACTCTAGTCGCCGTCACCACCGTCATTCACCGTATGGGTATACTTATCTATATATAATAAAACTCTAGAAACAAAAAACAGCCGCCCGCGCTCGACGCCCAGCTCGTCGCAATCGAGGCGCACTTATCTCTGACGTGTACTTTGCTCTGCGGGATGGGGGGAGGGGGCAGGGTTAATGCTTGTGCACACGTGCTTATCTTTTGGTGGGGAGAATCGTGTGCTTTCACTGGAACGATTGCGTTAGTTGTCGGACCCACAAAGGTATCTCCGGTCTATGCACAGGGCCTGTTTTCGAAAAGAGCGTGCTTTTCATACACAGCGAGGTATAACTGGGACACTTGTTTGTACTCATCTGTACCTGTGATTATGTATCGAGCATAGTTTTTTTTTTTTTTTAAAGCACGTTACGTGTCGAGCGGTAAACATTGGTAGCTCGCTCTAGTCTTGTGTGTATTGTTTTCGTGCGTCATTTGTGCGTGAGCAGCGCACTGCACGTTTTCATCTGCTTGCCGTTCTCAGTGTGATATGTCAAGTTGTTGCTGTGGCATTCATTGCTTCACCCTTGTGGCGAAACTGTGACATTTTTTTTACGTATTAACTGCCTTTTGTCTAACGCTGCGTGCCCTTGGAGCTTGTAGATCGCTATCGCGCTGGCGTGACCGCTATGTTCTGCACGACGGTTTTGGCAAATGGTAGTTCCTTTTTTTTTAATCCCCGTGCGCTTGACTGCGCACACGCCTTCAAAACAAAGTCGTTTCATACCGTCTACGATCGCATCTGCCGCGGTTTTGTGCGCAGGGTTTGCGGAAAGCAGTGTTGCCTTCACTGGTTGAGTGTTGGACGCCAACACACTTTCGGGACTCTGTCAGTTACGTCATCGCCATACATGATCGCGTCAAAAGCGACCATGGTTTCGTCGACAGCGGTTGCGGCAATGACAATCACGCACACTGTAGAAGACAGTGCGCGCGCCGGTCGCACGTGTACTTCCGAAGCTTTGAGTACGCTGCTCTCGGCTTTTATTCGTCGATCTTCGTACTAAAGTTCGTATCACCCGCCATGATTAGGAAATGTGTTCAGAACATTCGAATTTAGGCTCAATAGACAGAGTGAAATTTCGCTGAGGAATTTCACGAATTCGTATCTGCCGCGGTTTCACATCACTGAGATTCTACTGTACGTTTAGATGAACGCCTCTTAAACTCATTCATAACAAAATGGGGTAGGTTCAAAAAGCCTGGAGCGGATTGAGCTGCTTTTTTGTCAAAGCAGCCAGATCATGCACAAAAATTTTAATTTCCGGGAGATTTTCATGACAGCCGTACAAATGGACGAAACGGTCCAAATCCGGGAGTCTCCCGGCCAATCCGCGAGACTTGGTAGGTATACATGTGTTTACAGGAGGTATTCAGGACCCTAGACTGGGAAGAGTTAGAGATAAGAGTTAATAGAGAGTACCTTAGTAACCTGCGATCACCTCATGACATTGCCTTGATGAGCAACTCAGAGGATGAATTACAGTTCATGATTACTGATGATGGGGAAGTATATCCGTGCAGTTATGAATATGTCAATGCCTTCACTGCCACCGCTAACCAACCTTTTTCCGCACTAGAAAGCTTGCACTGACGTTCTGCCTCAATCAACGCTGTTGTTGAAGGACCTGAATTCGCTTATTTTATAAGCTTCAATAATATTGAGGATGATGGCGCGCATGAAGCAGGGCAAGTTTACGGACTAATTTCATATAAAAAAAGTAATTCATATAAAAAAATATATAAAATAAAGTGCGGTAACTTGCAGTTCACACCTTGTTCTTCATTACACTGTAAGCGAATCATTATGTTAGCGCTTGTAACGATTTCCAAAACCTAAATGCTTTAATTTAGGCCTTAAAGATGCCTACGTTGTATATTAAATTATCGATATATCGAACTATTTTGCAATCCCCTTCGAGTTTAATTTATCCGGGATCGCCTGTAACTCTAAGAATAAGGAGGAGGTGGATCATATCCGGCATGCATTCTCAAGTCATAAATGGTAATCTACCACTAACCCTCAAGAGGAAGGTATATAACAGCACCATCTTACTGGTACTTACCTATGGAGCCGAAACCTGGAGGCTTACAAAGGGGGCTCAGCTTAAATTGAGGATGACACAGCAAAAAGTGGAAAGGAAAGTGATAGGTATAACCTTAAGAGGCAAGAAGAGAGCAGAGTGGGTAAAGGAACAAACCGGGGTTAAGGATATTACAGTTGAAATCAAGAAGAAGAAATGGACGTTCGCCGGGCACATAGCCCGTAGGCAAGATAACCGTTCGCTATTAAACTGACTAGATTCCCAGAGAACGCAAACGCACGAGGCGGAGGCAGAAAGTTAGATGGGCCGATGAGATTAAAAAGTTTGCAGGTATAACATGGCAGAAGAAAGCACAAGACCTGGTTGATTGGCGGATCATGGGAGAAGCCTTTGCCCTGCAGTGGGCGAAGTCAGGCTGATGGTGATACAGTGGAACCCTGATTATATGACCTTCAGGGGACTACTAAAACTATTGTATAGTCCGGGAGTCGTATAATCGAAAAACCAAGATTGTAAACAGTAGCCTTGCCCCCCCCCCCCCAAAAAAAATAGGCACAGACCACTTGAATAAGCCCACAGCACGACCTTGTGCCTCTGCAAGGAAAGTAGATTACATTATTCTTGCCAGTGCCAGCTAATGACAGCATTACTTAGTTGGAGGAGGTGCGAAAGAATTTTTGTTCTCAACTTTAAAAAAATTGAATGCAACATGCATCTTTACATTGATAAACAGAGCACGAAAATAGCCGGCGCGAGAAAACGAAATTGAAACTACATTGCCGATAGCCTCTCGTCAGAAGAGTCAGACACAGTGTCATTACTATCACATAATGGCTACAGACCGTGACTTCTCGTAGAATGCCTTTGTGCACGACTGAGCTGTGCCTGTTGTAATTTGTTGGCTTGTAATGTGCAACGAGTGACGCCCTGTTGTTATTATGAATGTTGAGGTTGCCTGAAAGTATTTTTGCATGGCGAAAACAGCTGCGTCTCGACCTTATGCATGTACAAGCCTGTGACTGCAAGTGCGACAAAGGCAAGAGATCAGCTGTATGTCAAGCAGGAAAAGTTTCCATGGGCCGAAAACGTGAAAATATCAGCTTATCGATCGGCTGAACCTACTCTGTGTGAATAGGGTTTGACTAGGTAGAGCTCCCGGATACGTACGCATGTGATACTGGCGTATGTAGAAGCGCATTAATCCATATATGCCCAGTGTTTTACATGTAGGACGTTGAAACTATTTAGTGTAACTTGCATGTTTTTTCTGTAAAAAAGATAGCACCATTTAAGGTATGTTTACGATGCCCTGTCCTCGTCCCATGCAAGTCTAGGTAATCGCTGGGCTACAAATAGCCACGTGCTTGCAGTCACAAAATGGCTATTTCACATGCATGTAAATGAGCGGCAGACTGTGAAAAAAAAAATATATATATAAATATTATAGAGTCAAATTGTTTTCGATGGTCGATTGTTCATCAGTTATTAAGTGCGCAGTAACTTTCGTATGACAGTGATAGGCACTAATGTTTTTTTTGTTCACGGTGTGTCAAACACAGGTGTCCTGTATACAGGATGGCTCTAAAATCATTGTTTGAAAGAGTTTTTTTTTTTAAATAAATGCCTAATTCTGTTTTCTGAGGTCGTAGAAGCAATAATTTTGGGGAAATAATTTAGTTTTATTAATTTTCTTACGTTTGGGGATATATGGGTTAACTTTCAGGAGAATAAATTTTCCATTCTAAGCAAACATCCAGTCTCTCTACTTTTCTATTCGTCAACCAAAGGAAACGCAAGTTCATATTTTGTACTCGTGAATATTTGGAGGACGTTTAATTCGAGTAAAAGTGTCTTAAAACTGTTTTGTATACCAAAGGTTTTTAATACATCACTTCTATGGGGATCTTGCTGGGACCAAACCAATTCATCGTAAAATGCGGGTCGCCAGGAAACCAGGAGATGTATAATCAAAGTTCCCCTATTTATAGCAAGCGAGAAAGACAGAAGAAACATGGAAGAGCAGATCGGGTGCCCCACCATCTCCAAATATATGAACACTCTCTGCCTAAAGTGGCAACTATGCATTAACTGCCAAAACATAGCTGTAGAATTTTCAAAAACAGCAAAGTTGGCTAGCGATCACTGAGATGCACCACAGTGTTAGTGAAAGTTATGTTACATTCTGAGATTTAAGTAAGGAAGGCCCATTGCTAATGTGAGGCATGGTGTAGCAGCGTGACTCTGCACTGATTTAAGCAACCCGAGTTCCTTTGGTGCCCACTTGAATGCAAGCCCTCAAGTATCCTATAGTTGCAGAAATTCAACTTCTATGGCTTGTAATTGAGCCCGTAGAGCAGCAGCCGTTAGATAAGCCCCGATCCCAGAAGGCAATAAGCTCTAAGGGCACTAACGAGCATGGCATTCCCAATTCAGCAGACTGACAAAGTCTTGTTTATCACATGCCCTTTCGCCAGATCTGATTAAATATGCAGCACATAGCACTGTGAAGAACAAGGAATGAAACTGAAGCATCGTACGAATGCATCACCACCACAAAAAATTTCGTACATGCCTCCCTGAGTATGCATACCTGAATATCACTGTGCCATCATCTGCGTGAAACCCATTGATGTGGGTGAGACTCCTTGCAGACTGAAGAGCCGTCTCTTCTACCACAGAGCCCGCAGGTGGCAACTGGCCCCTGAGCCCACACTCACCACTCACACCATTGCAATCCACCAGGCTGCACTCCACAACACACAAGTTTCTTCGCTCAGCCAATTTGTCGTGCACTTCACTCTCGCCATTTATGGGCAAGTCTTCACTCCGTGCTAACAGTTGGGAGCCTGCGGCAGCCTCCAGGATCGCATGCACAAGAGAAGTGTGCTCAGCAGAGGTGCTCGGTGGAAGCTCATCGACGGGCGTGCCGTAGCTTGAGTCGGGCTCGGAGTCTCCATTCGCAAAGGAGACGTTCAGAGGTGCAAGCCTGTCCTTGCTTGGCGGTGGAGCAGTTGGGTGCTCGTCTCCAGAACCTTCCAGGTCGTCCATGATTTCATCCAACACCTGCATCATATACAACAAACTTTAGAGATGGAAGTGGAACTGGAGAGTCAATAATCTCAAAGTAGATAGCAAGATTTGAGTGGACCTTTGATGTATTACATGGGCAATGATGAATCTAAAATTGTAAGAGGTCTTCAGTAAGTCCTTTATTACTGCACCACTATTGGCTGATACTGATCAAAAGCGGCAATGTCCCACTGAAACGTATGGCTTCCGTTCAGCTGATCATTGTGGCCAAAAAGTGCCAGCTGCATTGCGGCTCAATTACTCACTGCCGCCATTCATGCAGCATTGTATGTGATTGCTTCCTGAGGTAGCGTTCTGATCTAATCGTGATCGTGCACGAGTGCAGCGAGTATTGAACAGGCCGATGGCAAGCTCCTTGCTAGCAATGCAGTAGTGGTACTGTGCAATGAGGTAGCAATGAACGGCGTATTAAAGGGACAGACAATTGCTATAACCCTACTAATGGTAAGATTGTTTATTGCATTGTTTTTAACAGACCCAATTTTTCTAGTTAAATGCCAATTTGTATTTTTTGTTTCTTCACTCAAAAATACCTTTGGTGCCTCTCGCAGCAAAAAAGTTGGCGATCATTTGATCTTTTACTGATGTACGCTATTGATTGTCTCTATAATAAAGAGACTGTTTAATGTGCCTTGTTTTTATGTTTTGTGTTGCAATAGGAAGCATGCCGTCTGAAGTGCCTAACCTTGCCACAGTTTCTTGGGAAAGCTAGCAGACATTTTTAAAACAAAATTTTTTTATCTACTTTCTGTGATTTTCAACTAGTATAGCTATGCCCACAACACTGGTTACAGCATGCGATGACAGTCTGTGCTGGTGAAAGCTGTCTTTTGTCACACATGCACTGTTGAACGGGTGCATTGTGCTATTGTTATTCGTCTGGTGGCTCACCGAAGAATGCGTGAAGGGTCGACAGTACTTCACTGTCCTGGTCATTCTACAAATTCCTCTCTCATAATAACAGGAGGGAGTGACTCGAAATGTTGTAAAAAGCAACAGAAAATACCTCGCTTTGAAACAGTAGTGCTTGCTCACGTTCTGATTAAGCAAATCAAGCGTAAGGCACCACGTTTGTTACTGTGGCAACGACGTCCATGTTACATTGAAAAGAACAAATAACATTGGTGTGCGAGCATCCTCTACGTGGGCCCTTCCAGCTCATTCCATTGGAGGAGTCACCCAACGTCATCGGGCGAGTAAAATGTGGTCAGATGACCGCACGAAAATCAAGTTGAGGGTAGCCACTTTTTTTTTTGTACATTTTGAATTTTCCTAATCGAATAACTTGGGACAGAGTGCCGTTATCACTGCTGTTCTTTCTGCATTAGTGTGTCTGTACGTCAGTCTACACAACCCACGAATAAAAAATTGGGTGTTAAGTAGTGTTGGAGGGCCCCTTTAAGATAAGACATCACACCTTCAAAGATCGAAGGCTACTTCATGAAGACGACGAGATAAGCACCATCAGGGAACAGCGAAGATGGTAGCTTGCTGGCTAACAGGTGTGGCTTATTTGGACAGATCTATGGCACTGTAGTGGCGGCGGCTAGGGAAGAACGGTGGGTCAAAGAACTTTCTTGTTTTAAGCGTGAAAAGGTAGTGCATATTGGGGACAGTTGCCTGCCGAGGAGTCGACATGACAGCTTTAATTTATGTAATGCTGCCCAGCCTGGTGTATCCCTCCCAAAAGCAGGTAGAGCGCATTTTTTATTGGATCTCATTGTGCAATAAACCAAGTTCGCGAAAGATTGGATACTTTTACTTGACATCCCTAGCTCGCATACAATTTATGTTTGCTCAAACAATAAATGTTTGCCATTTTCTCACATAAGGGTATTATTTTTTGTAGTCATTCTTTGAAATGCAACAAATTAAACTACATGGTTAGCACTGACTACATGAGACAGCCTGCTATGACTCTAGTTACAGTTTATATTGCAATTATTATACAAAGATGTTACCGGCGTAACTAAAGGGGAATTGACATGAAAATTTTGGCCACGCAATTTTTTCACTGCAATGTGTTCGTGGGAGCATGTTAATCATAACACGACACATTGTTTTCTGCAGCATGTGACAGATAATTATTTACAGGCTCGATATTACCTACGAGTATCAGTTTCAGTTTTGAAAACGGCAAGCCACCGTGCGCAACTATAACCACCTAGAGGGTGCAGGGCTCGACCATGTCAGCACACAGAACTGTGATGCACTTCCACGCAGCTCCCATCAAGAATCTTTTTCAAACAGGAAACGGGACAGCAATAATGTCATCGAACAGAAAACTTTCAACTTGTGCTCCACGGCCAGGGACTCGCGAGCAGCTGCCGAGTAATAGTCTGCTGGAGCAAACGCAACCAAATAAAAAAATGGTGCCTATGACGTCATCATAAATTTCTGCAGCGTGGTAACATGAAGAAAGTGGGGGGTCTTCAAGGGTCCACGTTGAGGGTTTCAATGGCGCGATGAAGTCGATGGCTCACGCAAACTTCAAAATTATTTTCAAATATCTTCCAAGCTATATTGGCTGTTTATATTTTGCAGATGATATACATACGCTCACGAGAATCAATCCCGCGGGCTTTCTTATCCGCGAAGTATTATGTTAACACCTCTTTAATTGAAAGTATACACAGTACCAGTGAAAGTAGTGACACCACAAGAAGTTCACAAAACACTCTAGTAAAAAAAAAAATGGCAGCATATCCACGGGGTGGATGATGGAGAGTGGGGCGAAGCATCCGTCCATGTATTCGTTCTTGCTTCCATCCGTCCGTGCGTCCATCCATGCGTCCACCCATGCGTCCATCCGCCCGTCCGTGCGTGCGTCTGTACGTGCGTCCGCACGTCCATCCATGCGCTCGTCCATGTATCCACCCTGCGTCCGCCCATGCGTCCATCCGTTCGAGCAGCCATCCGTGCGTCCGTCCATGCATCTGTCTGTGTGTCCATTCGTCCATCTAGTCAACACTCCAAGTACAACAATCTCGCATCTTTTCATTATATATTCCGCATATAGAAGCACCGCCATCCAGCAGATATTCCAAGGACTAAACGAGACGTGGCACACGCACACTTTATTACGGCTGGCGCTTCGTATCTACTTCCCACCTTTAACCACCCCGAGTTCATGGTATATACTAGTCCACTGTATTCATGGCACTGCGGCTTAACGCTCGCTAAACCTTTCTGAAACAAAGGAGGTTACGTCCAGCAAGTATAACGTAGCAACCTTTTCTTGTCACATACTGCTCAATGTACATGCCAATGGCTGCTAATGGGGAATGAGAGACAGAAGAATTAGGCTTTTAGTTAATGCGAACGCTGCGATTCTTTTATTGTTCAACAACGCACAGGAGAAATCTCCCACCGGCACCCCCTTGGAGGTCAAAGCGTAACACATGTTACGCACTACGAGGGACGAACAGGTGCCGCTTTGAGGAGCTTCGCCCCTAATTACACCTTCTCCCACTAAAGAAGTGGGAGTAGCAGCCAAAGCAGAGCATGTGTCAACTTAAAGTTCCGTTAAACACTGGCACCTTGCCCGATATTAACATGTTCTTGCAAGTGGAGCATACAATGAATTCACTGTAGCTTCTGTTGCTGTTACTCCTCCCAAACCCTTGTTGGAGCATGCCACGTGGGTTCATCGCGCATCTGCAGAGTTCCGTTCCCCTATGCTATCACGGATTGCTGGGTGATTCCATGAGAGATCCAACATGCATGTCCGGACAATGTGTTTTTTTTTCTGTTTTTTTTTTTTTTTCATATGTATTGCAAGCATGCTTGACGTGCACCGTAACGAAAAATTTTATTTGCAAAAACTGATCCCAGCACACCAAAAAAATGTTCGAAGGTGGTGTCCCACGCATCTTGCTATTGCTAGCCCCCACATTTCCTAATTTAGCAGGTGAATTATTTGCACATTGTAAACCTTGTGTCGAAACTTCTTTCTTCTTGGTTGAATACGCATCACAGTGAATTACATCCATGCTTTCTTTAGGCTGTCTGGAGAACTAAAAATTTTGAAAAAATGGAAAACTCGGTCTAAATAAAAAAATTTGGTATCTTTGATGAGCCTTGGTGGATTTTTCATTCCACCCAAAAATTTCAAAAAAAAAGGTGTGAATATTGAGCAACATCTTTTCAACACTCCTGCAAAAGCTTGTTTTCCTAGATGAAGCAGGACAGAAGAAAAAAAGTTAAAGAAGCGAGTTTTTCCAAACAAGAATAATTTCGAAAAAGAAAAACCCTGGTCCAATTCTAACTAAAATATTTTATCAAAGTCCGCTTATGTCACTCAATACATGGCTTCAGCCTTGTATTTCCCAGTTTCTTTGTTCACAAAATACAGGGGGCCAAAGTGGCCCTTGCCGAGTGTGCTTGGTTCATGGCCCTTACTGGATGTCCATGAGCCTGCATTCTACTAAAACCTCCAATACTAATTTTTTGCAGCAGCAGCAAAACTTCATTGATAGCTTGTGTTGAACAGAATTACATTGCGATTTTGAAGGATCTAGGGTGCCCCCTGCACGCCAGACTGGAGGACGGCCGTCCTCTAAAGTGATAATGCGTGCCCAGTTTGCAGCCTACAACGTGAACTTATGCCAACATTATTTTGTTGTCAATACCACGCGAAACATGCAGGATCTCGTTGTCGAAAGAGCACCACGCTCTTGGAGCGTGGTGCTCAGTAGACGTGTCCACAGACGGTGCACAGTAGACGTGTCCACAGGAACAAACCAAGCCAAACACACATTTATTCAACTACTTTTTCATCTGCGATATCGTCAGCCGAATTACTATAACATCAATTGTGATCAACATGCTAAGACAGCCTTACACAATGTTAAAGACACTCAACAACATGACAAACAAGGCGGTGTTGCTAACGCCTGACTCACCACGTGAACCCACAGCAGACGGCCCGCGGTGCCGTCCATGGCAGACCCACCGCTGGAGGCAACCGTTTGCACTACCGCCCCACGCCAAAAGAGACTCGCTTAATTTTCTCGTGCTGCCACCAAGGCTTGCCGCCGATCTAACCATAATGATGATAGTGGTGATCAACACTCACGAACAAAACGCCACCAACCTCTGAATAGTTTTGACCCTAAAGTACGGCTTCGCGCAAGACACGTGCGCCACGCGGCGCAAACAACTTTACAGGGGGAGTCAGCACCCCCACAAGCATTACAAGAGGATGTTTTGGATGACCTTGCCAAAACCAGCCATACACACACAATACAGCTTATGTAATCGGCCTTAAGGAAGACTTATAAGTAACTGCTCACTTCCATGATGAGGAGGTGTGCTGTTATGGAGATCAGTGGTGGGAATGCCAGCATTTTGAAGCAGGCAAAATCTGCTTATGGAGCAGCTAACTCTGCATTTGGAGCACGCGCAGACTTTTCACGACACACACAGAGGAAGAAAACTTAGCTTTATTTAGTTTATTATTCCCACAATTTACATAATCATTTATAGAGAAGCAGCAAGTCCACAAAATAAGCACAAAAATAAACAAAGTAGGATTACGTAGAGTCGGGGACATAAAATAGTGAAGAATATTTTAAATAAATATACTTTTCACCTTGGTTGGCGCTATGTAAATTTTGTCCATAGTGAAGTATATTGCAACAAGCTAGCTTGACCATGAAGTTCTCAACAGTGTGCACACACACATGCATTCAATGCCCATTATTGTAAAACCTCGTTATTACACACATACATGCCGAGAGTCTGAGGGGAATGCAGCTAACTATGCACTAATTGTAGTATGCATTAACTATCAAATACATAAGCATGTGCAGGTTTTCTTTTCAGGGTGGAGGGGCTGATGGTTCATTGCAGCGCCCCCCCCCCCCCTCCCTAATATGTCAATGTATGAGGCTGACTTTGCACCCCCTATGCTCCATTCCCCCTCGTGCACATGCCTGTGACCAAGTACAAATTTAGATTTCGTTACGTGCGCCATCACCAATAAAGTAAGAAATAAATACAGTGCTACAGCGTATATTGACTAATGTACCCACCATGAAGCCATATCTTTTTTTTTGCCAATGTTCAGAAATAGTTGGAATTTTCGCACGAATATCCGATGGCACATGGTGGCGACACCAAAGAACATTTAGAAACTACTGTAGAATCATGGATATGCAGACAACACAGTGAATGACTTAGCCATGATACAGACACAATCGGCTATCTGTGATAAACGTGTATCGTGACCTGCTACTTTTATTTATTTATTTATTCGAGATGCAGTATGGTCGCAGAAAGCCTATCACCTACTCGCTAGTTGCGTGCATCGCTTCGCCTCCACTTGAGACCCTGCACAGAGAGGCCAGAAGCCTACTGCATTAACGCGATGACACGAGCTTTCTGCAAGCGATGCTCTAGTGGTCCTGGCAGCGAACAGAGGCATGTTTGGGCTGTCTCCTCATGAAAGCATGTGCTACGCTTACTGTCTCGGCGTTCGTGATCGACAATGCTCAACTCCATAACAACGAGCTACATCTTGGTTTCTGCAAAGACAGCATGCAGGTAACACCGACAAGATGTGAGCCAAGGAAGCCGAGCGCAAGCGTCTTCGAAGCATCGCGCTTCCCTTGTCTTTGTGTTTAAAACAAGCTTTTACTCGAGTAAACGCAGCACTGAGTTCAATTTCAAATAGTTCTTCGGCACCCGCGTCGACGCCCGTTTCAACCGGGTCAATGCCTTGTGCATTGCTGCTGCTTCGCATCTTATCAGGATTTCTTTTGGGGAGATCGTTCACAAATTTTGTGTTACAAATGTCAATATGATGGTGACTAACCACAGTTTCACTCGCTTTTGCGAAAGCAGCACCTTGAGCATAATGCGAAGAGCGGCATCGCTATTACTTCACAGCATTGCTGGAGGATGCCTTCGTCCACTTTTCAGATCAACAAAATACTGCTTATGAAATAACTGTTCACTTTTGGAATCAATCGCGGCAGCTAAATAGTGTGGGCATTGCGTAGCAAAAAAAAAATGGTTGAAAAAAATCGGTTGTCAGCCCCTTTAATACCATGCAACAGCACTATGCTTGCTGCATTCTACAATGCATTTGACATGGTAGTGCCACGGCAGCAGAACTTTTTTGCATCCATGCCATTCCTGATTACGCATGAATGTAATGAGTATGTTGTATCAACTCAGTCTCATTTAGCCAATTTCGTTTCCATGAGGTGACCTGCATCTTCAGATAGAAGGAAACCATGAATGCTGTAGTGCACTTAGGTTGTTGTGCATGTAAAGAATATTAAATAAAACAAATATCTTTTCAAGCCCAAGCAAGAATGAGGTTTTAGTGTATATTGTAGGAGTGGAAACCCCAATTTGCTTTGTTATTTAGATCCTTCACACATTTTTGTTATGCTGGAGCTTGGCCTATCATTTGAGTCGGTTAGCTGAAAAACGGCTCAAACTGACCTCCGAGTCGAGCTGCAAGTGTGAAGCAGCGAACAGCACACTGGTCTTGAGGAAGGCTTGAAGCTTGGCTGACAGCTGGGCCAGAGCCTGGCCACTGCTGGCGGAGGCTTCAGCAATGGGCCGCTGACACTCAAGCTGCGACTCAAGCTGGGACAGCCGCACACTGCACAATCGAGTACAGTGAAGTTTTGTGTTAATCATGGGGCTAGTAGAGAAACAGGAGGCCACATTTATTTTCCTTCCATTTCAGGCTCCAAGATAATTTCTCGCATTTGCACAATATGAGACTCCTCAAATTTAGTTACGGCTGCTTTAAATTGTGGTGTCATTCACCTTTAGCCATAAGTGTCAAGCTCTGTACAGACACCATCCAAATTAATAATATGGCATGTGCGAAATTCGCAGAAGGCAACTTTTTGTGTATTTTCTGGAGGCCTCGACTCATTGAAAGAGCTTTTGTACTGGTATACATATGACCTTATTATTTCTCATCTATTATTTCAGTGACCTTGATGATTCAGATTGCAAGTTCACACATTGTGACATGAAACCGCACTTCATTTGGTCACATTTGGCTGTGCAAACTGATGAATTTAGATGACCATCAAAGCACAACAAAAGAGCATGAATCCAGCCAAGTCCACATTGTCACCTGCAGAAACTGCAGAGAGATGTTCAAGAATTTATCACCATGCATGACCATCAAGCATGGTCACATCACTAGCTATTATTTCTTTATCAGTAGTTTAGCTCTGATTCAGTGCAAGGCACATGCACAAGCACCGCAGCATGCATGAAGAACCTGACTGAGAAATGCAGTGCGACCTAGACCCAAACACGTCTCCTGTCTTCGTCTATATCACATTGCAAGCATGGACAAACTGAGCTAAGTGAAGGGATTATCTACACCTGAGAATTGCTTGTGCACTTGAGTAAAATTTACTGCCTGCATTGCAATAGTTAACCAGCTTGGTAGTGGTCAAATAGTCACTATTCGCAGCAACTAAAAAAAAGTCTACTCTGCTCAAAGATATCTATGTCACAAGCCACTGCTTATAAATTCAAATTAATGAACTGCACCATTCATGTAAAAAACAGTGTTACTTTAGACTTTGACAAGAGAACATACAAGGAAGCCAACAAAGCTCTTAATGTGCGGGCACAAATATATACCTTATGAAATGTTTCGCACATATGTAGCCGTCACTACTGCCGACGAAGCTTTAACCATTTCCACAGCTGAATACAGGGACACCCAAAGCGACAAGTTGGCAGCCGGGCAGTTAAAAGCTATGAGCCAGTGCTTCACAACGCAGCACTTATAATAAATCTTAAACGCGCAGATTACGCCGAAGCCAAACGCTATGAGCAAGTACTCCACAACGCGGGACCTATAATAAGTCTTAAACACGCAGATTACGCCGAAGACAAAAGGTCGCACATTCGATGTTTTGTTGAGCGGCAGGAAAAGGCATGGGAGGCCTCCCGATCGCCATCCTGACCACACACTCACACTAACAACGAGCAAGACGCGCACACATGACATACCGGCCAGGGCGCGTGCAACTACTCTGGGCCTGCTTTTAGCCAGAAGAAGAAACTTTTTCATTCGAGCCAACATAACTAGTGTTACGAAGCGGTGGAGAGGGGCAAAGGAGTTTAAATAAACGAGAGCAGTCTTGTAAGAAAGGCGGAGCTGCAATAGAGTGAAGAGAGAGGAGCATACATTGGGAAGATGACCTTGAATACCAAAACACACGAAAAGAAGGCAGGTCGGGTAGCTTGGTAGAAAGGTCCACGACATGTGCAACTCAAACGCAGAAAAACTTTGGACAATGACCCGTGGACGCAGAAGTGAAAGATTTGCAATGTGGCGTCGGTGGGCTTGCACTGCCCTACCGACTTCAATTATTCGTGATTCGTTCTGTGAAACAGCCGTTTTTCTGTTCCCGCAAAAGAGCAGAGGGTTTTAAACAGAAAATTATTCGTCAATTATGAAAGTCGGAGGGGTAGCGCAAGCACGTGCACTGGAACGATACGACACTGATTCAAACAACACACAGACGATCGGGTACAGACGGTGGCCTACGATGTTGGCAGATAGTCTGATCCTCCTAGCCTGTCGGCGCCAATGGTAGTGTAACAAGACCAGTGATCGAAAACTGAGGGGAGACAAGTCAGCCTATTGGTCTTCGAACGATCAATAGCAGTGCGAATACATAGGCCTCGTCTGCTGGCGATACGGGGTGCTCCGAGTAGTGGAAGGACAAAGGACGGCAGGGTGCATAACAGAAAACAGTCGGGGAGAGCGAGTAGAGGACTGTGGAGACAGGGTTGGCATAAAACAATAAGAATCTATGGGCACCTCACCAATGGCTCATCGGTAGTAGAAAGTGGTTTTCCGAGAAGTTGCCGAAGCACCAAGACTGTTCTCGGGAACAAATCAGCGGCGGTCAAAACATTCGTTGTAAGTGCAATTTTGTGCCATTGAAATAATGGTTACACAGGTATGATTAGTTTTAAGCAAAAGTTGATTTTATGTGGGGCCGTTATATGTGGACTCTACTGTATATCATGAATAGCTGGCCTGCAAAGAACCAACTTCCAAAAGAACTGCATCCATACTGCGAGGTCAGGAGCGAATTTTCGGTAGTAGATAGCATCCTACCCAGAGAGGACCAAGTCAGAGTTCGTAGAGGTTTCCAATGCGAAAATTCAAGGATATTCAAGGACTTTTCAGAACCTGTTGCCGGTTTTTTGAAGTCTAAAAGCTGCATGCAAAGTTAGACTTTTTTCCTCTAAAATCTTCAAAAATAACTGCCGATTTTTCGGAGACCCGAATTTTCGGACATGCCCGATGTCAAGAATGACAAGATGAAGAAAAGAAGAAGAGAAAGAAGTTGTCTTGAATAGGTAATTTAAAATGCTGGAATGAGGGAGAAGAAGGAAAAAAAAAAGAAGAGGGCGCGGGGCGAGTGAGGAACGTGAGAGCCGGGACGAGGCGTTCGAGAAGCCAATGGCTGCAGAAGTTCGGACTGGGTCTCGCCTCAGGCTCCCGCCTGAGCACCTGACTCGGCAAGCAGCGCACAGAGCAACCGCTGATCCTGGGCTGCAGTTTCCCGCCCGAGCACCGACCTCGGCGAGCAGCCCCGGAACCACCGCCGACCCTGGTCTGCAGTGTATCCCGCCCGAGCACCTGACTCGGCAAGCAGCTCACAGAGCAACCACTGATCCTGGGCTGCAGTTTCCCGCCCGAGTACCGACCTCGGCGAGCAGCCCCAGAACCACCACCGACCCTGGTCTGCAGTGTATCCCGCCCGAGCACCTGCCTCGGCGAGAAACCACTGAAGCTACGGCTGTAGTGGTTCTTCAACATTGTCGCCACCGTTGAGCATCGATATGGCGTGTCATCACGCCTGAGAGGGACTCCCAGCGGACCGGAGGCCACGCCACAACTGTAAGCGCAAGAACTAGAGAACGCAAATAGAATCGGACGTTGAAACGCGCGTCATCAAGACATCTACTTTTCTGTGTTTTTCAACAAGCGCGTGTTTTTGTTGTTGTTTAGTTTTGTAATTTTCATGGTAATGAAGTGGTAGTTTTCGTTTGGTACCATCAGCCTCTATGGTTCATTTCGCAACGCCCGACGAGCGAACCAGGCCTCAGCACATATACACGTGACACCCGATAATTCAGACATCTTTGCGGCACCGCCACGAGCCCCATAGAATCAATGTATAAGGAAGTCGGAAATTTCGGACGCTCGAAACCCCCGGAGCCCAATTTTCCGGACTTTTTGACGCGACGGAAGGTTGGAAACCATCACTGACCTCCACTGAAAATCACCACAACTGTGTCACACGCGATTACGATCGCATAAATGAGCGCGCCGGTCTATTGTGGCGGCATCTGTTGCTTGGACTCGTTGATCGTTAGCGGAGAAACACACACGGCCTCCGAGATTCCTAACACTGGCCGTGTTTATCGAAGGGTGCTTCGCTGACAATCGAAACTATCCACCCGAAAATTTTTTGGCACCAATAAAGTTTCTTTCGCTTTAGCACTTGTGCTCGTGCGTGCCACTCTGGCTTCCCGTGCAGCGCTTTCACCACTTCGAACTAGAACTAACTGTCACACACCGATTTGGTCTGGCCACACTGGCTATCTTGAATGTTTACCTGCGCCACCTCTGGAGTACCTGAGGCACCGTCGCACTGTTTTGTTTACGCAGCCCACATGGTGTTTGGCTAGCCTAGTGTGCGGTTGTGCGATCGTGTGAAGTGTGCTCTGCAACGCTAAGCCTATGTGCTTCGACGCTCGTCAGCAAACTCTTTTGTTCACATCATGAGGATTTCGCTTGTCTGCGACGAGCCCCACTCTGCCTTTGTCATCCTCGCCGATGGCATCGAAGCGCAGAAAACGATACCATTGGTTAACGACGGAGAAGAAAGCCGCCATTATTAGGTTAGTGAAGAGTGGCCGATTGCAGGCTGACGTGAGCAAGTAGTTCGGCATTTACAAGCAAACAGTTTCCGATTTCCCGAGGAACAAAGACAAGATCTTGGAAGCGGCCGAAAAACCGTCTGGTGCCCAAAAGATGAATGCAAGCCAAGGTGTTCATCCAAAGCTTGAGGACGCTCTTGTCGTGTGGCTCAATTCAATGATTGCCAAGTGGTTGCCATTCTCGGTCTGCATCTAGAAACAAACAGCGGAAACTCTCGCGCTTCGAATGGACATCACGGATTTTAAGTTCAGTGATGAATGGCTGAGAAACTTTAAGCATCGGAATGACCTCAAGTTCAAGAAGATGTGTGGCGAAAGCGGCACCGTCGACAGTGCAGTTATTGCGCAGTACCGCAGTGGAAAACTCTAGTCTTCGTTGCCTTTGGTCTGCTGTCGGAATGCTTGCGGACGCATGGAAGGCAGTAACGCAAGACACGCTTCGCAACTGCTTTTGCCACGCGGGCTTCGTACTCGACACAGAGGCAGCAGACTTGCCTGAAGAAAGCGACAGCGTGACTGACTTGTGCCCTCTCATGGACGATATTATCAACGACCTCCACTCTGCTGGTGCTTCCATGCTCACAGAAATGACTTTTGAGCGGTTCGTCGACACTGACAACGAGCTCGACTTCTGCGCAGAGCTAACAGATGACGAAATAG